CTCCTATTCGAAACTGATAACACCATTTACCATATCGTATCACACCACTGTCTTTACACACTCAATCGTTATGCCTCCTACCTCTTGGGATCCTGCAGCGCGTCGGCATACCTCCTTCAAACTGGGTTCTTGCAGATCCCTAGAGCTTGTAGGCTGAGTCGGATGGTCTTTTCCGACCATCGCCCAAACCAAATATATTATATCATTGCCAACACATTGCTTGATGCGAGTGAAGTACATAAATCAATATCTCGGGTCGTGAGGAACGAACGAAAGGAGATTATAGTTTATGTACGGATGAGGCAATCAACGTTGATCACTTCTTCTTGTCTCTTACGACGTTGACTGCCGAAAGTCTCGTCCTGTATTCATCGTATACTCTACAGTCCTTGCTTTTTGGACCACCATCCCTCCCCACATCTTACTAACTTAGTCTACTATGTCGGGTTCTTGCAGATCCCTAGAGCTTGTAGGCTGAGTCGGATGGTCTTTTCCGACCATCGCCCAAACCAAATATATTATATCATTGCCAACACATTGCTTGATGCGAGTGAAGTACATAAAGGGGGTGGTCCGCAAAGTTGGCAGCAAGGATAACCGCACCACTCACCACACGAGTCCACGTCATGAGCCAGACAATCGAGAGTATGACCCTGCCTCCGTTAAAACAAGGCAAGGATGTAGATACTATGGGAATGCGATGAGAGAATTGTTACCCAGTGATCCTCCGCGATACGTAGACTCTCCGACCTGGGATCGTTTTCAATGCGCGCTCCAGACGTTCGCTGTCATCATGCGGGGTCGATATGAAGGAGACATTGTATAACCGAACTCGCGCTGGCTAACAGTCTGATTCATGACGAGCAGGTCAGTAAGATTCAGGGGGTTATCGGCCGGTAAGTCCGTGAAACTAGGGTTTGGCTTGGGGCTTAGGTCTACGGTAAATGCCGACCGCCATATCTGCCTCGAACAGAACAATAACGAGCCTCGTGGTCATGATGGAGACTCCAAGCATACTGTGTGATAAGCATGAGCCATAACCCTACAATTGTATGAGCAGGATCTGCATTAGTGGAACTCCCCCACTCTTGTTCGCCTCACTATCAGCCCAACGGTCATCAAGCATCATCATGGGCCTCAAATGGTCTCTGCTGTACAGTGTATCTCAATGGTTCCCAAGGACCTCGGTTGTCGACAGTCGACTTGTTGGTTGGGGCGCTTTCAGTCTCTCAGCCATTTCGTAACCCCCTTGCTTACTTAAGGGTACCCACTGGATTTTAAGGCACGTCAGGCCGGGAGTCCCCTGGTAAGGTTAAAGGGCAAAGAAGAAAGAGAGTCTTACAATACTTATACCGTACCACATGAGCGTTATCAGAAGGGTTCATAGACGTCGCCTTCAACCAATAAATCGGCATTCCATATCTGAACAATCAACAAGTTCTGCTACGGATCTTCTTCTAGCTCATCTTCCATATCCTCCTGCGCCTCCTCCAGCTCCTCTGCCGTCATATTCGCCAACTCCCTCTCAATCTCCTTCTCCATCTCCGGGTCCAAGTTCGCCATCGCCTTAATCGGACCAACCAAATGCTCAGGGAACGCCGGGTGCTGCATAATACGCGCCACCTTCTCGTCCAGGTCGTCGTCCTCGTCCTCCTCAATCTCATAGGCCGGGTCATCCTCAGCCATAACCTGCTGGTAGCGCGCGGACACCTTTTCCCAGTCGAGCACGTTCCAGAACTTTTGCATCCACTGCTCCTGGCCCCATACGCCGTACCCCGCGCTCAGCCACGCGTGCTCGTGCACCGGGACGCAGAAGAGCGGCCACACGACCGCGTCGTCGTCCGCTAAATACTCCGCGTCGTCTTCCTCCTCGGTGTTGTCCGCGTTGAGCGTGGTGTCGTACGGCGTCTGCGGGTTGCTCTTGAATTTTTCGAGCAGGAGGTTGGGACCCAGGATGCTGCGGCTGGCGGAGGTGTGGAACTCTCGTGGCGCACCGGGAGGCTTGGGGTTGGAGGAGGGAAGAGGAGAGGGAGGTTCAGTCTCGAATACGGTAGCTTGGACTGCTTTGATGAGGTTTTCGACTTGGAGCAACCGCTCTCGTTTGAGGGGATCCATAAAGCGCAAATTGTCCCGCGTAGGCGCGACGTTTTTATGCTGAATCTTTTTCAATTCATCGTAGACGTCGACTGTGGCTGAACGGGGAGCAGTCATGGTCGATGTGTCGTCTTCATCCAAGTCGTCCACAAATCCGTTTTCCTCCTCTTTCAGCATCTTCGCCACGTCCTCGATTTTAATACGCCATTCTGGATGCGCGAAAATCCATGCATCGCGGAGGGCCAGCAGCCGGGGCGCGTCGGCGAACAATTGAGCTACGTCTGAGAATTGACTCGCGACGTCGGGGGGTAACGGCTTGTCCTTGAGTAAAGACTGCAGCTCCTGCATCTCTGCCGCATATCCTTTTTCAAGGTTCTGCCACGTTGAACGGGCGAGAGGTCTAGGCACGGGGTCGGAGGGGTCGTTCATCGGAGGGCCTATATATCGACGCCCGCGGATGAGAGCAGAACCGCGACCAAAGGTTGGCACAACGGCAAGATGACCTTTGTGGTTGGCAACCAACCAGACATGGCCGCCGGAGAAGACACCCAGAGACGCTGCGGAGAGGGAAGATTTGAGTTGCCCGAGACTACCATAGTCTTCATTGATTCTGCTGAGTAGCGCGTGGTCAATTTTGTCCTGGTGATTACGCGCTTTATCCTGCAGTGGTTTCTAAAAGACGCGTCAACGTGAATAGCGAAAATACAAGAAGGGGGGAGCACATACCAAATTAGATAGGAAAAAGTGATTATTAAGGACAAGGATGCTCCACTTGGACAGAGAGACGTGATCTGGCTCTCGCACGTCCACTTCCTCCGGGTCGTCCTCCACAACCTCAAAAGGGTACACGGCCGGGTCGTACGAGTCAGTCTCCACCAGGCCTGCTGCCCGCGAGGCGTACAAAACAGTGTCCACTATTCCCTTGCCCGCATATTCGGTCCCTGTGGAAAGGTTAAGCGCGTCACAAGGCGAAAAAATTTGACTCACGTCGAGTCTCGTCGTTTATGCGCTGTATTAGAGTACCCTGGTAGTCGACCGCGACAACCTTGAGGGCAGCGGGTGGTAAGAAGTCGCCTAGCCCTCCTTCAACGGGATAAGGGAGCGGCAGGTGTACATTTCGAGCAAAAAGCGCGCCGTGTCGCGTATAATAGCGCGGCGTCCGGGCGCATAAGCGGAGCATGCCAATGGCGGAGAAGGAACTTTTCAATTTGTTCAGGGTACAAATTGTTTGGCAAAACCGTCCACGTCAAATGATGTAGGGTTAGGGTTCAGTGAGGTCGGAAAGCAACTTGATTCTTGAATAATGTTCGATGAGACGTGTTAAATGTCAGAAGATTGAAGGCATGATTTGTCTTCTTGTAACAATTGGAAAGTCGTGGTGCCAGGTACTTGGGTGAGCGTGAACAGAATTTGATGAATGACTTTAGGACAAACCATGGGCAAGCCTATGTAGATATCCCAGTCAGTGATGGTCAAATGAATTGGCATAATGGTAGTTGAATGGATATATGCTGTGAAGAGAACAAGGGTTGAATATATGCGCACCTTAGGGTGAGCTTGAAGAGAATGTGATGAATGGGTACAGGACAAATCATGAGCAAGCCTAGGTATCTCAGTCAGTGGCAGTCAGATGAACTGACCTAATGGTAGCTGAGCGGATATATGCTATGAAGAGAACAAGGCTTGAAGATATGCGCACCTTACCGAGACCCACCGATGAATGAGCATTAGTGTCGATGATCCTAAATTATTAATCTTTAGATCAGGTAGCGGGGTGATGGAGGAATATGGCAGCGAAAGTTTTCTTCCGAGCTTTTGTAGCAGTAGAGTGCGAAGCCAGTGAGGTGAAGACCTTCGTGGTCGCTATACCGGAGGCAGGGTATAGGATCAGGTCTTGGACGTGGGCCGACTGCTTATGGAAAGGCCCTAGGCGGGTTCATACGCGTAGAAACATTTCGAGGAGGAATGCCTTCAGACAGCTGCAGAGCGTCAAGTTTCAATGAGGAGGAAATAACAATGGACATCTCACCGGGATGCGAAGCAGACTGTATGCGTCCAGGGTATATATCTCGGTGTGCCCAGAACCGTCGCAGGAAGTGGTCGCGCGTACCCGTACAACGCCAGGTTCCCTAATCGTGTTACATCCATGGCGAGACGATAATTTGAGGACTTGGGTCGGACGAAGATACAGAATCGTCAGTATTCCTTCAAGCTACGCCTTGGCGTCGACGTGGGCGATATGTAAGACGATACCACGTCTCGCAACAGCGAGCACGGGCCTGACTTCGCCCAGCAGACGCGCCGTTACGATAAAATGCCAGCGGAGTCGATCCAATCGTTATTGTAGCGCGTCATTCGAAATCATCCGGCGCGTCAATGTCGGAAGACAGGTGTCGGAGACGCAGCCAGGTTCCTAGATCAGACGCGCCTAGTGGTGCAATCGATAGCGGAAGGGCGTTGGTGGTACTTGGATGGGTAGATGGACGCGGAAAGCAAGGAGCGATGCGCGTAGTGCCTCTGATCATGTGGTCTTAATCAGACCAATTTGGGATTACTTAGCTTGCTCTTGGAGTAGTACAAGTCGAATGCTCGCGCTTCTCGATTTTCCTCATGTATGCATGGTTTCAGGCTATATAACCTTTCTTGCGATTGTATCCGAGTCCTCGAGATACTTACTTCAGAATTAACAGACACGTCTTGAGCATTGAGGACGCCTAGTACTTACGTAGCCGCATACATAGCGCGCGAGAAACCACCACGTCGAAGACCAAGGCCTTTGCATCCCAATAAATTTGATCAGTGAATAATTGTGTTTCAGAGTAGAAGAATTCGAGCAGAATTCACAAAAAATTCACCTCGGATTCAGCGCAGGATTCAGTCTCGGTGAAAAGTATCAGCTTCACTAATACGACTGGCCTGAGTCGAACAGATATACATTACGTATGCTTGCAAATGTGCTTTACCGCTAAGCTACAGTCGTTGTCCCTGACTTCACTGATATCTACCACTTTAACGTTCCTCTCTAGTTCCTCTCGAGCAAATTTTGATCGAGCCAGCAGGAGAATCGCCACCGTTGATGTGACGTTTCGAGCGCTCAACATTCCTGAGGTGTGAGACTGTCAGCCCGTGTACAATTTGCGATAAGTATGCGCCCGGCGACGTCGTAGGATCGCAAAATTTCTGTAATTTGCAGAATGACAAAAGACGCCGAGAGGTGTTATTCCAAGCTACGGAGATGAAACATATGGACGAGAATGCAATATTGTGATTTGAATAAGATATGGTCAAAAGTATTGTAAAAGTATAGCAGCATCAGAAATCAGCAGGGTGAGATCACTACGAGTGATACACGCACGATCGAAAACAGTCTCGCCAGGCTCTCTTCTCAACCACCATGTCTACTCCGCCAGTGCCGCCTGAACCAGTTTCGCCGCCCAATTCGGGCAGCGTACGGCGGCATCACACGATCTCGGCAGCGAGCAGGTCAGCTCGTGGCTCTGCGAGAGACGCTATATCAGAGGAGGGACAGAATCCCGATCTATGGAACGAAGACGAGGTGGTCGGCGAAGAATGGGTCGGCGGTGTCGGTGCGGTCGGCGAAAAGAGCTCGTTGCACCGCCAAGCGTCGTTGCCGACGAGATATCATCGAGGTGCGTGATCGTCGTCGTCTGCGATGTCAACTGGTCTCCGTCTGCTGGTCTCAGTCTGACATTTCTTTTCTGATAGCTTTCCAAAATCAGGGCGCCAAGTCCGGGACTTTGACTCCCAAAACGCTTAATAGCCTCACCGCGATTGCTGGCCATGAAGGCGATGAAGAGGAATGGGAACGCGAAATCGGTGGCTACAGTGTCCATGAGGAAGAGGTGAACCTCATCGTAATCCATTACGCCAGTTACTGAGACAATCGCCAGGCATCTCCGGGCGGAGATGCACCAGCGGCCATGGAAAATGCCAACTCTTACGCTACAAGCTCGTCCCCACCGCCTGCAGGCTCTGGCGTCCGTCGCCACGTATCGTTGACCTACGGTGCCCAAGGCGCCGGCGCAACACGGCCGAAGATGGCTTCGTCGGGTCTGAAACGCTCTGGAACCCTCCAAACCCCGATGCCCGTCCATCCTCCTCCCTCTCAGGAAGCCATTGCAGCTGCTGAAGAGGAAGAATACACATACGACGATCCAGCCAATTATGAGGAGGAATACTACGGGAAACAATACGGCGGTCCAACAAGCCCCGTCGGCCGGTCCTCCCCGTGGAATAACGGTAACAACGATTGGCGAAACCAGGCCTCTGGGAACGCCGCTATTGACGACGTGCAGCGCGCGTTGTCCGCCTTGGAACTCAACAATGCCGGAGCGCAGGTCTATACGCCCAATTATCAAACTGGCGGCCAAAGTGCCCACCCACCGCGGTTCAATCCCGCTTATCCGCCGCCTAATCAGGCTCCCGGAATGCGTAGCAACAACGGCGCCGGACGTGGCAATAATGGTGGGAAACTGCAGCTGGTAACCGAGGCTGATGGTCGTAAGACGCCTGTTTACTCACAGGGTGGCGGACAGCCCCAGACGACCGCTGCCACTGGATGGGACCAGAAAGACCGCTTGCTGACGGGCCGGTCGTCGAATCCCAACTTGCAGCAAGGCTACCACAGCAAGTCCTCGAGCGGCTCGGGTGCCTCGGTACCCAATGTCCCGCCTCTTCCCGCTCAGTATCTGCAGCAGCAACGGCCCGGCCTTGGAGTTATGACAAACAACCTTTCGGGGCAGGCACGCACTGCGACCGGTCAGACGCCTACTCAGGCGTTTGCCAATACGCCTATCGATGTCCCATCTTTGATCGCGACTAAAGGATACAATCCAGCAACGTTTGACACGAGGCCGACTTTCGTAAGTCAATTGAATGCTAAATCAACATTGCTAACGACTATCTCTAGGCTCGTTTCTTCGTCATCAAGTCTTATACCGAAGACGACGTGCACAAATCACTCAAGTACGAGATCTGGAGTTCGACCGATCCTGGAAACAAAAGGCTGGATAAGGCTTTCAAGGAAGTTGCAGGGCGAGGACCTATTTACTTATTCTTCAGCGTTAACGCCAGGTATTGCACGTTCGCATGTCTACAGGTCATTAGCTAACCGTTCGAAAGTGGCCATTTCTGTGGCATGGCGGAGATGCTTACACCGGTATGTCGCTATGTGTCTCTTGGTCTGGATGACACTCATCCCCTTCCAAGGTCGATTATTCACGAAGTAGCACGGTGTGGGCGTCCGACAAGTGGAAGGGTGTCTTCAAAGTGCGCTGGATTTTCGTTCGAGACATTCCAAATGTCAATCTACGACACATCAAGCTCAAGTTAGTATATCGCACTGAAACTAAACTCCCGCTTAATATTTTGATTGCAGTAACACGCAGGAGCGCAAGCCTGTGACCAACTCTCGTGATACGCAAGAGCTACTTCCGGACGCTGGACAAGAGATGTTGAGAATCTTCCATTCCCATCCTGCCAGGACGTCTCTGCTGCAAGACTTTGCGTTCTACGAGGTAAAGTCTTCGATGTTCCATGCCATCTTCGATTCTCACTCTCACAGCTGCAAGCAATGCAAAAGATGCAAGGCCAATCTGGACCGGCGTCCCCGATTGCAAACCCCAGCGGGATGAACTCGCCGCCACTGCAGAGTATGTCTCCGGTTCCGCAAGCACAGCAGGCCCAATTCGGGAACCCGAATGCATTGGCGTACCAGATGCCACAAATGACGCCGATGATGCAGATGCAGATGATGGGGATGAACATGGGCATGGGGGTGCCGAACGTGAACGCGATGCAGCAGAGCGTGATGCGCCATCCTAGTCCGGGCCCGCCACAAGGACAGCAGGGCCAGTTCATGGGTATGCAAGGCTTCTGATGAAAAGGCTCTGGCCACCTTCCCATTCACGCACTGGATTGCATAGAGATTACGACCTTTCCTTCTCGATTCCAACGCCACTTTTTCTTGACCCGTCTTGTACCACCAACACTACCATCCCAGCCGCAGCTAATGTTCGTGTTATCTAGCTCATGATCCATGTTTTCCCGCTCTAGTTCTATTCCCTATTTCGACGCCCGCATGTCACATTCTTACTAGTTTCCCAGTTATTACAGCACGGACGGTGAATGGACGAGGACCTTCCGCTTATTCGCTATCTTGTCATGTACTTGCTCTACAATTGGTATCGTACATATGTATTACATGCAGTGTTTCTATTTTGTTCACTTGTTAATGTACAATGAATGGTTTCTTGATTTTGGTGGAGTGGGTGGAAGGGAGAGGCAGGTGTGGCGGCGCTAAATCCTGCACTTTGAGATTTCGTGCGACTTACTCAAATCCTTTTGACTGATATACCCTGATAGAAATGGCGTCGTACCTGCGCGTTGGCATGCCGGACTGGACCAATATGGTCACATGGTCGCAAGTGACTTTGGTTTGTTACTATTATGATCCCATCTGGGCTTCGCATTCTCGTATTCATCCTTGTACTTTTGAGTCCCATTATGCGCGTGTGATCCAGTATCTTATCTGCTTCGTCTCACTAAAGTTATACGCCGTTGTCAAGTTGTACCTTATCGTTTCTATCGACGCTACTCAATCGTGGCGTCTGCAAGTACTCTAACGAACGCTGTTAACTACTTGATCGTGAGTTTTAGTCTTGTATATTCACGCCGACGTTTATAGTACTTATCACATAGACTATGGTGCTATTTGCTGGTAAGTGGTCACCTTGCTTGTGGACTTGCTAGTGAACTATGTTAAGGATCGGGAACTCTTGAAAAGACAGTTGAGGCTCTCCCGTCTTCTCGGGAAGGACGTGTGCTCTCGTCTCCTCTATATACTAATCGTTCCTTGGATGTTCGACGTGAAATTTACTAGCACTGCTCGTAAGTCAATATATCGACATCACCCAGATGTTGAGTTTGATTACCTCTCGCAGCATACGTTGGTAGAAGGTGTCATTGTCGCGACTGTAGGCTACGGTGCATACAAAGACAGTACCGACGTCCACAATCTTATTCGGACACGTCGCTGGATTCTTTCAGAGCCCCATTCTGGTGAGCATACCCTTCGCCCTCTCCCTCTTGCGAGTCCACCCCGCCAACGACGCCGCCGGAACGCTGTCTACAGTCACCGAGCCAGGACCCTTCCGGCAAGCGATGATGAAATACTCTCTTCCGCCATAATGATATTGACCTTGCTCGTATCCTCCCCTCGGGCCAATGTTCCACTCCTGGCCCCACTCAAGGAATTCGAAGCGCTTCTGGTAGAAGACGAGCTCCGAGCGGGGCGGGACGCTGACAGTGATGGTCGTCGTCGCGCTCGAGGTGTCTCGGTGGTCTTGAAAGTGCGCTCGCTGTAGTCGACACCTATTGACATCCCCTCGTAGGATGCACCAAGGTTAAAGCCAGCGGTGACCTCGCTGCCCTGGGTAATGGTGAGTCCGGTTGTTGTAGGAGTACTGGTACTGCTGCGTGGCGTCGGTGTCGTTTCTCCAAGCGATGAGCTGGATCCACTGGATCCTCTCCAGGAAGCGATTGACGACGGCGTACATGGCCTCGTCGCCAGCGCTGAAGTAGATCGTTACCCGACCGGCGAAGGCGCGCGCGGTACCGGTGGCGTTGTATACGCGGTAGCCGTATAGATCGCGGGGTTCCGCGAGAGATATGACAGCGTGGGCAGTGGGCTCGACGCTCTCCTCGACAGGCTGAGTATGTTTTACACCGGGGTCGCTGACCTGTGCGGGTAGGGTCAGACTGAGAAATATCACTGTCAGTTAAATTGAAGTCGTCACTTACCGTGGACATGGATGACTGAGAAGCCATGTTTTTAAGGACTGTTGGCAGTTGGCGTTACTTATATAAATCTCGCTTTTGAGCCTTCGTCGAACCAAAACTTTCATTTCTGTCTGGACCAACCATTGAGAAGTTCAATCAAATGTCGCTGTTACCACGTCA